CTGCCATCCCTGGCCATCCGTTCACCATTGACTCCATCGTTATAATCGGGTGGAAGTAGTCTTCGTTGGCAATGGAAAGTTGAGCCCCAATTGGTTTCCTTCAGATTATTGCACTTCCCGTCAATTCGTCGGTATTTATAATTGGGATTACAGGCGACTACTTCGCTCACATCCCTTTCCAAATCGCAAAACTCTCGTTCATTTGTCATTAGGGTTGGCGCTCCCAGTGATGGCATGTTTATTACGGTCTCGTATTTATTGAGACAATGACTTCATTATAAAAAAATTTTTATCAAAATTTAAGACAATTATATTTAACATAAATGTGATCATTAAAATAGTTTACATAATAAATATTTCAAAACAATGCTTACATTTGTGCCAATGTTTGCGACATAATTTCATTAAACTTAGTCTTGAGGTTAGCCTCATATAGGAAATGACTGAAATTGCCTAATCTGGGGTTCATTGAAATAAGCTGTCTATCGATTTGCTCCTGGATCTCAACCCCACGTTTGGCATTATCTATGGCCACTCTTATGTCACTTTCCGTTATGTCAGATACACTTCCCGTCTGTTGGGAACAGTTCTGTAGAAATGGATTATTTCCCAAATATTGTTCATATATTTCACTTAATTCTGGTGAATATTCTTTCATAAATTCAAAAGTCCCGATCGGATCGCTTAGTATCCCAGGTATTACACCTTCAGTAAGTTCAGCTATACATTAATAATTAATAAACAAAATTGTAACTATAAAAATATTATAAATTTAAAATGATAAATTAATTTTATAATCCTTACCGTTATAATCAAAGCATTTTATATAATTTAATAAATAAATTATTAAATACAATTTCTTAGTTATTTTATTAAACATTTTACAAACTTAACTCACATATCAAGTCATTTATTTAGTATTTTTTAAAAACTTTTAATAAAACATAAATATGATTTTACACTTATTGTAAAAGTAAGAGCAATACACTTTAAATGAAATGTGTTTAAAATTGTTAACTGTTTGTTAATCAGATTTTAATAACATAACATATTTATATTTTTAGTAGTTTTTTCCTTAATTACTAGTTAGATTAATATCTCGTTGATACTTACAAGTTAAAATACTGAATTGTAGATAGTTAATTACTGTAGTAGATAAGTGCAATTGACTCAATATATGAGTTTTAGACAATCATAATAACGTTAGCTATTTTTATATTTATTATCTTTAATTAATAATTTGACTTTAAAGTCAATAATTGATACAATATTCATAGGTTTTTATTTCAAAAAATATCTAGTAAATATTCAAAAATACCTAACATTACGATTGTCTAAATCTAATATTGTGTATATAAAATACATAATAACATTTAATTTAAATTGGACAACTTTCATGTTTCATCTAATGTTTGTACAATATATAAATATAAATTAGACTTTTTCTACAAATAACTATTCAACTGAACTATTTGGAAAATTCTTACGATATTTTCTAACTGATCAATTGTTGTACAGTACAAAAGATTAGTATTTTTTAATTTTTAAAAATTAACTAACATTATTATTGCAATTATAAATAATAAATAAATTATTTAAGTATTTCATTATCACTGTAACTGTAGAGTTAGCGTTCCCAAATTCAAAAATCAAATTCCTTGAGAATCCTTTTTTTATCCCAAAATGTCCTCAATTTCCATGATTTTAAAAAAGTGATCATAAAGTTCTTTGAGGTCCATTGAAATGGTCATATTTTTTGAAAATATTTCCTTGAGCATACAGTATCACCGATTCCTTGAGAGTCCTGCTCGAACCTTGAGATTTTGAAACCCTATGTAGAGTATATAAATCATATTACAAGTTATAATTTATTATTAAAACTATTGTATTGTGGTATAAAAAATACAAACACTCATTAGAAATTGTAAATATATTTTATTCTCAAATACACATTTTACTTGTTAACCTCACAAATTAAGCACATTTTATTAAATAATTTGTAAATTATCATTACAAACTACACTCCATGCTCATTCCATAATGTTCAAAAAAAAGTATTACAATAAAACGTATCAATGTTATCTAGTGCTAATATCGACATGATCACATCGACATATATTCATAAATTAGAAAATGAAAAAATAAAATCAATAAAAAGTTTGATTAAAATCTCATCAAATGTAATAAATATAAATCTATTAGTGAATACACGCTATTAATATAGGTGTCGATAAAACGGGCGGTAAGTCTAGTTTAGTAGACAGAGTTGCTTCTATCCATAACACGTATTTTGTAGGGTGAGCCGGGTATGTGGGTGTCGGCAATCTTGATGTCCATGTTGTAAACCCCGGCCAAAATGGGTTTGTATAGCACCTGATATGTGCCGTTCTTATTGTCAATGATCTCCAAGTGGGCGGACGACCGCACCGGACCCTTCACGTGGACAGTGAGTCCACCCAAAACAGGCTTAACCTTTGAACAGTCGACCAGGAACTCGTTGACCACCAGTGCCCGTCCCAGTGATGACCCTTTTCCGTGCACCCTAACCTAATGTATGAATATGTATATAGTTTTACATACTTTTGATTTATGGTAGGTTTACAAATGTACGGCACTTTTGGGTTATAAATAAGTTTTGCGTAAATTTAGATAAAAAAGTTTTTGATAAAAAAATGCTAAATATTTTGAGATTTAGATGCTTTCCAGAATTTAGTCAAAAAGTCATAATTCATATAAAATTATAATATTTTGTATAATTTTTTAATTAACATTTAAAATAGATTTTAACTATAAAACATTTTGTTAGTTTAACTTTATTTCGTGTTTTGAGGTTAAAGAAAGAAAATTTTGCTTTTAAATGTTTTATTTAAAGTCAAGTTCCCGGTTTAGTCATATAAATAATAATATTTTTTATAAAATATTCTGTAATATTTTTATCATTTCGCACATAACTTATTTGATAGTTTTTGCATTAGTAATATGATAAAAACATTTTCTATATTTTTGAGAAATAACAGATAAAAAAATGTTTGAAACCCATTATTATATAAATATAAAACAGAATATTCTTTTAGTAATAAAGTAAAATATTATATTCATAATAATACGGTTAAATAATGGTTAGTATATGAAATAGCTTTTAATAGTTAAATGAATGAATGGGTACGGTTGACATACCTTTGATATGAGTTTCTCTGCAGACACTACTTTCCCGGTGATCCTGATATTGAAAGGGCTGTTCGAGAGCTCCTGTTTCCTATAACTGATGGACAGCTTATAGTCGCCGGGAATGAGTGGCACATAATATGCCTCAACATTCCCGTCTTCATTGAGTTTATCGAATTCAAAAATAATTTCCGGACTTTTGGGCCCTTCGAACACATAAGTCAGGTCTTTGTATAGATCCCTATTTATAGTCAACAATTTAAATTGTTTATTAAATTTAATATCAATTAAAACAAATATTTCTTAATCAAATTGTGAATACTAGATAGGGTTACCAGTAAACTTAAAATTATTTGGGCACAATTACAGAGAAAATAATTTGCAAAAAGTTTTTAATAGTTGAAAATAAATTTTATTTGAAATATAATTGAGTATGATAATAGGATAATATATACTCACACAGTGGAGTCGTCTGAATGGACGGGTAGTCCAACGAAATACATGATACATCGTTTGCCGGTCTTACCATCGCTGAGTCCCGGACCAAACACATGGATATCATCGGCCTCTGTGTCGGACATTATTTAAATGAAAATCCTTTATTAAAAACTTTTAGACAATTAATGCGAAAGTATAATAAATATCTAAAGATTTTTAAAGTAAGCACTAAATTATAAAACTTTTATAAAAGTTTGCAAAATATTATATAAACTCTTGGATGAATAGTGAGCCAAAATAATTATGATAGAAATTGCAATAAATGTTAGCACTGGTAGTGTTCAAGAGGACAGTTGTCATAAGAATAGTGACTTTCTGGGCCTGAAACTCACTTTTATATTGAAAGGCAGCAAAAAGACATGACACACGACATCCCTTAACATACCGTAACTCTTATTGACATAATATACACGGTTATGAATACCATGTTATGTACTCATGAACAGATCTTTTTTNCAAGAGGACAGTTGTCATAAGAATAGTGACTTTCTGGGCCTGAAACTCACTTTTATATTGAAAGGCAGCAAAAAGACATGACACACGACATCCCTTAACATACCGTAACTCTTATTGACATAATATACACGGTTATGAATACCATGTTATGTACTCATGAACAGATCTTTTTTATATCAAATTCTTGTATCTAAATGTCTCCCAAACTGTTGTACTATATGTACAAAAAGGAGTTGTAGTCAAACAGTATTTTGCACCCGTAGTCTTTTGAATGTCATATCATTTTTAAATATATATATTTATAATTATTTTTTTATGCATGTATATATTTTTGGCGGTAAGTCATCGCATATGAGTGTAAAGAATATTCTGTATAATGCGCTATACGTGTAGGATATGGATGGTGTGCTCATAGAATATGCTCCCCTCCCTCCCTCCCTCTCCCCCTATCAGTCTCCCTCTCCCATCTCACCCACCAGTCCCTCAGAATGATTGTTGAGGTGGTGACTGTTGGGACAGAAGTATCACTTGACATACAGGTCTAATGACATCCAGCAGACATTAATTATAGACAACAGACATAGAGTCCCTGATGTGGTGTTCAACACATTGTATGCATAAATAAACTGAAATTAGAGATCGGTTTTTATTTTTATTACATTTGTTGACATCTAATAAAGCATTTGAACGGAGAATGACTTCAAAGGCATATACCGTGTCGTCGGATGTGTGGAGAAGAGTTCATCGAAATTATTAAAAATATTATATTCTTTAGAAAACTGTAAACTTTATATTTTTATCTCAATCAACACCATATCTATTTTGTATTCAATTTTTGCAACAAATTGTCAGACTTTTACAATGAAATATACACTGTTGACAGTCTCTCTCTCTCTCTCTATCTCTCTCTCTCTCTCAACTCATATAAATAAAATTGATTAAAATTAGTTGCAATTATATATATTTTCATTGAAAAAGTTTTTGTTATAAAAAATTATTTTAAATCTTTTGTTTTTATAGTTTAATTATAGCAATATTACACTAGATTTGTTGTGATTTATTTCATGCTGCGTTTAATGACTTTATAATTAACTGTAAATAGGATCAAGGAATTTAAATGTTTATTTATAAATTAAATATTAGTAGGAATATTCTTATCAAACAATAGAAATTAATTAATTATTATAATTATTATTATTATTAATTTATGAATTGAGTTCAATATTCGGGTTATTACTTCATATCTTATATAAATGGCTACAAAAGTGATAATAATCTTGTAATTCTTGCAATTTATTTTTAATTATATATTTACATATCTAAATATCTATATTTATTTTGGGTTTTAAAAAAATGTGCTGGCTTGCAGTTTTCTAAAAGAATTATGCACATGATCGTATTTCAACATTTACAATTCAAATATGCCAATTATTATTAATATAAATGTTATTTCAAATATAGTGCCAATAACTCAGGTTTATACCCGAAAATTAATATATGTTACGATTTTTCTGTCTTATGATACTTTTTAAGGTTTTGTAAATATTGACTAAAATCTAGTGCTTTATGGAAAACTACCAAAAACTTTATAAACTTAAACTATAGTTAAAATATTAAGTAATTCAAGTAATATCATTTTTGTACAAATATCAATATTTAATTTGTACAATATTTATTCAATTTATAATACATTTATATAAAATAATATAAAAGTAGTAGTATTTGTAATATTTGGTTTAATTTATAAGCAATAATATAATAAAGTAACTTAAATTCAAATGTTTTCTAAAAACATATAATTTTCTATTAAAAGATTTGAGAAAAATTTGTAAAAATAAATTTGTACTGTTTACACAAATAATATTTACATAATATAATATGTCACAAATTTAATAAAATATTAGCTTAAATTGAAATAATATTTGCAATCATTATGCTTAATTAATTAGTACTAGTAATAAGTATTGTATTATTTTACCAAGAAAAATTAAATAAAACATGTTAATAAAGTAATACATAGCATTTTTATAATTTTTGTATTATGTGCTTTATAAAATAGCATTTTATTATTGATATTAATTTATTATCATGAATACTATATTATAAAGGTTTATTAATTAAAAATGATTTTTGAAACTTATTGTTTATAATTCTAAATATAACTGATTATTATTAATAAACTGGAGATTTTTATCTATTGTTTGTTACCCTCAATGTTAATAACATTGATCCGGGTATTATTGAACTTAAAAATTATAATCTAATGTAAAAGCTTTATTTCTACATATTTTTCCATTCGTTAACACAGTACCTCAAAATGTGTGTTATTTTTATAACAAATTTATAAATATCAAAATAACATTTCACTTATAATAAAGATATAAATCATATGAATTTACAGCTCATTTAAATGCATATTAGAAAGACTTCTTTGTATTATTAAAACTAATTTCTAAACTCAAATCCAAATTAATGCTACTTATACAGGGGTACTGTATGTATGTATATAGTTTTCATTATATTTTTTATTTATATATATTTTTCATTATATTATATAGTTTTTTGGAAAAAAGTTTTCATTACTTTTCAAAATTATTTTTTTCTGTTTAATTAAAATACATTTGAATGAAAGTATTGATTTCATATGTATAATAAAATAATTAATTTTTAGATTAATGAATTTAATGTTTTATACTTTATGTTAATTTACCATTAATTTTCTCATTAATTAGAGAGAATATTATAACGATCGTATTTTACCCAAAAAACTATATTTAGAATCATAAGTAATATAATACATGCAAATAGAGTATAAATCATAGTCGACATTCCAGAGTCAAGTCAATTAGAAATGACCTTGCTACTGTGTGCATTTCATGACCACCAAATTTGCAAATACAGTTTTTTCTACACAAAAATCACACGAATCTTATGCCTATTTATATATTACGCGATTCTTCATGACTTCAAATGTTAACAATCTATTACACAGTGTGTGACAGTATGTGAACTAATCAAAAAACTTTTCGCTTATTCTCTCTCTCTCTCTCTCTCTCTCTCTCTCTCTCTAGAAATGTCTCTCTTTAATGGATTTGCAAAAGTCTTGTCAGAGAGAGTGAGAGACAAATCAAAGTCAGCACAAAAACTGTTTTCAATGCGATTTTATAAATAGATTTCTTAAAATCTAAATAAAAATTCAATGAATTATTTAATGAACTGTTTGTTTACGTTTTTTTTATAATCTTATGCATTAGATGAAATTGATTAAAATATGCATGTAATAATAAACATCATACGAATTTGTTGACGGAACCTTTGCATTTATTTTGTTTAAAAACTTAAAAAGTTTTACAAATAATTTTTACTGATTCCTAGATATTATAGCTGATTGGAATTTTAAAAATGTTAAAAGTATTTGTATTAATCTTTAATTAAAAATAAAACTTATTTAAAATTGAAAATTCCGATGTTCTACCCAAAATAAATAGACAACTATATTTAATATGTTTAGCGTAATTTGCAAAATTTAAATTATTATACTCTAGGATAGCTAATACTGTATATTTTTAATAGATAAGATCATTAGATAATATTACAGTATTAGATAAGACAAGATCTACTCCAATAATATTACTATTAAAGTGTATTATATATAGTATTTATTTCAATCGACTTTATTTTAATGCCATAAATAATACTTTATACTCTATACTTAATTTATGTAGTAAATATAATGTCAATATTCATAAACATGTAGCGATATTATTTTACACTTAAAACCAAATGAAACATACTAGATCATATTATGATAAATGTAATCACACATAACACTAGAGATTAGTTGTTACAGTTCATTAACAGTTATTTATATCCCAGACATTGATGTGTAGAAAACAGTGTTTTTTGATTTTTTTGTGAATAAATTAGTGTTTCACTCAATTTGACGACTAATTAATTTTCATATTTTTGTAGTTTTAGTTGAGATTTAATTATTTTAAAAATAGATTCAAAACTCGAGTAAAATGTGAGAGTAATGCTGAGATGTATAAGAAAAGTGTGTTTCAAAGTCAATAATAAATACTTTGGTTAAGTCCTTCATACAAAAAAATAAAAATATCATTTTATTTCTGTCACTAATTTTCTCGTTTAATATATTTTTTTCTAAAATTATATTTTTTATTAAATTAAATGTTATCAACTTTTTCATGCTTAACACGTGTATGAAATTTCACTTAATTATATCTATTTATAGTTCAATTAATAATTTTTACAAAATATTTAATTAGTTAACAAAATAACATAATTTATTATAATCCGAGACTAATTAGACAGGGTATATTGTGTTAATTCAATAGATAATAACAACTGTTGTCAATGAGAGGGACAATCACACCATTTCCCACATTCTGGTAGTGATAATGACATTCAAATCAAATATAATTATAGAATGAAAACTAAAAACATTGTATTGAATGACAAATGCATTTGCAATGAGCCTTGCATTGAAATTCTTGGAGTTCTAGCTATTTATGTGGGCTTTCAGTATATTATACTCATTTGAACCCATAAACCGCCGACTCTTTTGTCATCAAATGAAATGAATTATTTATGTTTTATTTTAGACCATAGGATGTGGTTTTTTGCTACAATCATCAATGCAATAGTCAACAAAATTAATTTAACAGAATTTATAATACTAAAGTTATTTTTAATAGTTTATATTTATTTGATTTGATATCAAATTATAAGAAATCTTTATTTAACCTTTTTTCTTATTAATTTCTATGTAACTGCTATTTATTATTTTAATAAACATTTCATGCAATTCGTAATAAAAATTAAAACTTTTTGTATGACTTTGAAACAAATATCATGTTGCATCAATAAAATACTTTTATAAAATTTTTTATTAATAGTCAAGTTGTTGTAATGTAATTTTTAAATGGTTTTCTTGTAAATACTAAAATAAAATTATCTTTAATTAATATTAAAGTTATTTAGTTATTTGCAAACTTATAAGACATTTGAAGTATTTGTAAAACATCTGTAATTTTATAAAAAGATATTGTAATTTAATTTGTAATATTACAGGATTTTATATAAATTACATTTAAACATTTGCTAATATTTTTTGAGACAATCATATGATTTATTGAATATTAGCAACAAATAGACATTGGTTTTGAAAATCACATTTTATGATATATTATCCCAAATAAATTAGTTAAATATAATAAATGTATCTCAGACTCTATACATATTTTTAAATAAATGAAAATATTTTGCAACACATTTGAGACACTATTTTGAGTGCGAAATGTTATGATTTATATGTTTTTTATGTTTAAGAGACACTAGAATTTAAAATAAACCAGGCCAAAAATAAGCTATGTACAGGATTTATGAATGAACTAATAAATATATTAATTATTAAACATAAAACCTAAAATTTAAAACCCCGATCAACTTTATACTGGTTACTTTACATGGTTAGTAATACTGTATTTAAATTATTTAAGTTAAATGATTTTCATGCATCCAAATAATTTCACAATAAAAATGATTGATATTTCTACTAGTTTATTTTAAATTTCTAGGCAACAAGTGAAGGCGTTATTAAAATTTATTTTTAAAAAACCAAAAATATTTTATGTCTTGTGCGGTGTACTAGCAAATAATGTTTAATTATATAATTATTTTAGATAACCTTTTCGCAAATATATTTTTAGATTATGTTTAAAAATTTCATGCAAAACTTAACTCAAATAAAGGAGTATATTTGTGTTTACGAAAAGCAAAATTAGGATTTTTGTGTTAAAACCTTGTTGATTACATAATGATGAAAATAAAAATAGATATAAATTTTGGCTGTAAATTTTGGCTAAATATTGTAAACATATTTATGGAAATGTTATAATTTTTTAATTCAGTATAAGTGTGTTTGTACATCTCTAGATAAAAATAAATATGTCTAAAGTTGATGAATTTGAAATTAATTCTCAATTTACTAAAATCAAAATTTAATAAGTTATTTATTATACTGTATATTAATACCGTAGATATATTAGATATATATAATATATTAGATACAGTATGTAGATTTAATTAAACTTAATTAAACCAAATTAATTCTTTTGAAATTATAATTTACTTATAAAATATTATTTAATTTATTTATAAGGAAATCTAAATTAATTTCATTTTGTTTATTAATCTTTTTTAACAATTGTTTATAAAACATAAATACAAAGTCCTGTATAGAGTTGTCAATTTATTTCAATACATTATAATCACTCCTTTTTCTTAATGAACATAAAACCCATAGAAGTAAACATAGTATTAGTAAAATCAATAGTGAATTAATTGAAAGCAAAACTATATTAATTGAATAAAATACCCATTCATTTGGACCCGCATATAGACCACACTCTCTATCCCAATCAATAGGTATTATATGATTAGCTAAACCTTTAAACATATTGTATGGACATCCCTCAAACACTTGTCCATTACAGTTAGGGATAGTTAATAAATACGGAGATTTTGCTTCAATTGTGGAGTCATTATAAAAATAAAGTTTCACAAAATTGAAACCATTTTTCTCATGCAATTCAATGAGTAGTGTTGCACTCAATGGTATGATTTGGTTGTTAAACACATTCAACGAGTGCATCAAAACCGCAATTATTGAGTCGTGTGTTGAATATATGTATACTTTTGGGGATATTTTATTAGGATTTCTAAAATTGATAGCATTTTCCATATTCTGCACCAATTCTTGCAATAGAGGGCCGGCTCTCGTCCTCTGAACTAAACTACTGTTCCATTCGGTTATCCATAAGAGTCGAGTCAACGGCTCTAATGTCTTAAGGACTGCCCGTTCATAATCAGCAGTCCAGACCCCCTTATCGGACCACTTATACCCCCGCTCATATTCAGTAATAAGGTGGTCGTACACATTTTTGGCATCCAGCAAAGTTTGTATTTTATAGCCAAACAATACACTCAACTCGTTTAAAAATATTTGTTCACTTTTGAGCGCATTTTGAACTAAACCACTATTTTCTATGGCATTCATTGCGCCGGTAGCTGCGGGACAGTAGGCTTCAGTGCGTAATAGCTTGTCGTCATCCATAGGCAGAAATGTCTCGACCGGAATTGGCTGCCAATACATGCCTACCGGTGCGTCCGAACCCACATTCCACTGCCATTTGGTGTTGTTTGAGGGGTAGGCGCCCGCCAACAGACTCGTTATGCTCTCCAAACACCGGGTTTTAGCCGAACTCCGGGCGTATACTTCGCGGGGACTGTACTCCTGACCCAAGTATTTGCTGTACTCTTGGCGTACGTATTGACCCAATCTATACATCCGATACCTCCCGAGTGGTGACAACTGTGCCAACCCTTCGGGCCAGTATTGGCTCACGTTTTGGCTGAAGGGGTCGTTGGCGTAGGCTTTGGTGACGGCTCTGTTCCCGTGTCTGTGCACTACTTGTAGTAGTTTTAGTGTCGAGATGTCATGGTCTGGCCATACGATCACTGATTGTGTCAAACATAATATGAGAATTAATTTCAATAATGAGATCATTGTCTTAATATTGTATATAATTAGATGAAAAATATTTGAACATTATGTCTAAGTTTACGACATTTGTAATTAGTTTAATGTCAGTAATCACAATAATATCAATATTTGTATTTCACATGTTATATGGATTCAATGTTTAAAATAACTGGAATAACGTTATGTGATAGCATTTATCAAATGATAAATTGCAAAATAAATTTTCTTTGTCTGACAAGTGTTTAAACAAAAGTTCATTTCTATATCTAATTGATTACACTGTATAAATAATAATTGAAAAATCTGTAATTATAAATAATGATAGCATTTAGTCATAACACTTATACATGTACCGTATATTTAAAATTAAAAATGAACATCTTATCTTGTTAATTTTTATTATTATAATAATCATGCATTTAATTGAACAATAATTTACACCTTACTTAAGAAAGGTATTTAAGTCTTTAAAATGAACATGGTTTAAAACAAATTGTACGATAAGATCATATAAAAGTCAAGTATTGAATAATAATAATAAATTGAAAATAAATATAAAATGATAGCAATTGTCAAACAAATTAATTTCTAATAAGTTTTCCGAAGCCTAGGAATAGTGAGGCAGCCTTTTGGATGTGAGGGCCGGTAGGCAGTGGCGGAAGTTGAGCGCATCGGTCGCTATCCTCGTCGTAGTCGCCGCACATGAAATTCATTGTATTTCCAGCCATCGCCTGCATGTATCGGCCAAAGTAGTCGATCTGTCGGTGCGAACACATGCCTTTCCCATACGTCTCACCCGACTTTAATATACATGTTTTCAGTTCATAGTATGCGCTGTTAAATGGAAATAATTAATTAAACATGAATTTAAATCTTATAACGAATGAGTTATTAATATAACATAAAATTTAAAATTATTTTTAAAATTGTGATCAAGTAATTAGAAATCATAGGGAATGTCATACCAGCACCCGTGCGGCACTTTATATCGCTTGACAGCGTGGTTAGCCCTCCCGAGACTCCAGAGGAATGGGTCCATACATGCCGTAGACTCAGTCCTAATGGCGTTACCACAGGAGGCCATCGACAGGAGTTCGGCCCTCTTTTGCGGCCTAAAACAGTAGTTCCTTGTATTGAAGCGTACGGTAGAGATCATGATAGTGGCGATCGACTTGTGTAAGCCGTGTCGGCATTTGTCGGTAAAGTCTTTCACGCATTTCATTAACTCATTACTCTCTGAACAGTGAGCCTGGAGTTGGGCCTCAGTTTCGGGCAAAAGTCGTGAGTTATTTCCAGCGAAAAACAGTTTCTCAGCGCACATGTAGGCGCTCTGTCGTCGCTCGTCCGTACAGTCCGGGCTTTGGGCGCCGTATGTCACGCCAACTGCCATACAATTGATTAGTTTAATAAATTAGATTCAATTATTTTAGGCCTTACCTAAAATACACGATACAATTGTCGCGAAATAGACGCTCATTATTAGGCGAGACTTGAATTTATGGTAAAAATTATTTTCTTTGTAATACAATGTATTATAAGTGAAATAGGGGTTTTTATTAACTTGATAAATGTGTGATTTATATTTATTACAACAATAATTGAAATGAATTATAATTTTTAAATGTTAATCCTTTTGCCTCAATGTATGACAGAGTGTGACATTAGTGACCACAACTGGTTTAAACCATACAATGTTAAAACGTGTTAAACATCCCATTAATTGGAAATTTTTATTGCAAAAGGTTGAGAAAACTTTTGGTTTCCAATGGCTTAAGGTTTAGTACAAAGGGATTAAGAATTAAGTAGTTAGGTAGAAATGTTTGTAAAATGTTTACAATATTTGAGTATTAAAGTACTGGATGTTTTATAGAATTAACCTTTTAAATTATTAAAATATTTCTCAGTTACAATGTGAGTACAGAAAATACATATGCACTTTAAATAACACTATCATACATTACAAATAGTAATATTATTTTACAACACATAAAATGGTCACATTCTCTCCAATACAAATATTATTTTAAATATTTCCATTTATTAATAAACTTTTATAATTAACATTTATAAAGTTAGTTAACACTATGAAATATAAACTTTATGTCAAGAATATTCTTAACATATTTTATATAGCATATTATATTTTGATATATCTGCTCACAAAAACAAAAATAACAAAGGTAATCTAAGATACGATTAAAAATCTAATGATAACTTACTTGTACCACAATAAACAAGGTATACCGTACTACATACATGTATTACTAACATACTAAAATATAATTATAGTTAGCATGGTATTATGCATGGGTGTAATAATTGGTTTATGAGAGCCGATAATTATTAATTTGTAATAATTATCCCGATAAGAATTCTGTAACTCTAATCTCAAAGGGTGACCCGGGTATGTGTGTGTCGGCAATCTTGATGTTCATGCTGTACATGCCGGGTGACGTGGGTTTGTAGCATATCTTGTAAGTGCCGTTCTTGTTATCCTTGATATTAAGTTGTGCGGACGACCTCTCGGGGCCCTTCACGTTCACTTTGAGACCACCTATCGGTATCCTAAGGCCACTGCAGTCCACTATAAACTCGTTCATTGAGTAGGCTTTCCCCAATTCAAACGCACGTCCGTGAACTGTCACCTTTACAAATTAGTAATGGATTAGTAATGGAGTTATAATTTATAAATATCCCATAAATGTCATGCATTTTCATACAAGCTCAATAACTAATTTAATTTAATTTTTAACATTGTGATAAACATAAGATGCTATATTTACAGATAATAAGTATCAGTTTTATTTTTAGTGTTATTATTATTATTTATTTATTTTTAATAATAATGTTATTATTTGTTTATTTGCATAGTATACTGTAATCAATAATCTTATTTGTAAATGCAAAGAATTTGGAATTTGTAAATAAATTAATATATGAGAATTCAAACTAAACTGACTCATATTAATAATATGATGATTACTAAAATAATGGGAATTTTGTTGTTTATTTGATATATACTGACATTTAAGATAAGACTATTTGTTAATACAGAATAACAAAAGAATTGACTAATTGTTATATATTTAGCTTTCATTTATTATAACAAATATATTCTTATAATTCTGTCTCGAAATGTTAAGTGGAGTATATTTATCTGATTTCATTGTATTTATATATCATTGTTATTTTTAGAGTGATGTCAAGCTTATTAAGATGCTAACTAATGAATGCTAGTTTTAATGACATAAATAATTATTTATCTATTTCTGAAATATTTAAAAATATAAATATACTCAGAATCTATTTAATTTTAATTTAAACAAGATAAATTGAAAAAATTAAATCAATGGATTTAATATTTAATAAATAATAACAAATGTTTTTTGTTTAATATTAAATATTGAAATATAAGTAGATTTGTGTAAATTAAAAAGTCGTTGTCATTAATCTTATCAAGCAATCTAGTCTAATCCTCACCTTTTTATCCAGACTAATCTTTTCATGAAACAAATTATTTGTTACTCAAAATAATCCACTAAACGTTATATTCATTATATTTTGAAAATTATCCAAAAAACCTCATTTCGCAACTTATTATAAGCTATTTTGACATAATATTCATCACATAACGTGATGTAATGTTTGTTAATAAGAATTACAAAAATTATTATGTGCTCATTAATAATAATTTTTGTCATTAAAACAATTAAACCATTGATTTATAACAAAAACATTATATTTTTCTTATAGATGTAACACATATTTTAATAATATCTTAACTAAACCATTCACTAAATATAAGCATTTCACACAAAACCTCTTTGTTTTATAGTTAATAAACAGATATTTTTGTTTTGGAAAATTAGTGAAAACTTTACAAAAGATGTGTTCATAATATTCATGAGTTAAACACTTTTATTTTTAAAAGTATTTTTAGATCAAGTTTTAATTATCGCTGAATTCACTCAAAAACCCTTAACTAATCAATAAACTCAATATGAATTATAACAATATTTTTAACGCAATTTTTTAAAACTATTATTATTATTATTATTAATTTATTACCGTAAGTTAATATCAAATAAAATATTATTGTATACTGGTAAAATGAAATTAATTTCTATACAAAAACCATACATACATTTGACAACAACTTCTCGACATTAACCACATCTCCATTGACTTTAGCCGTGAAAGGACTGCCGCTGACCTGCCGGCCCTTATAGCGGGCCGTTATCTTATACTCGCCCGGCGTTAACGGGAAATAGTAGGCCTCGACATTGCCATCATCGTTGAGGGCATTATAATCGGTGATGACATCGGGTTTAACGCCCGGCCCTGATATGGAGTACGAGATGCCCTCCTCGAGCTCGTGGATGGGAGCGCCCGACACATAAATCTTGCACTTTTTGCCGGTATCTCCACCTTTAAGTCCCGGTCCAAACACATTGATTTGTGTGACGTCTACTTCAGCCATAAATCAATAATTTGCGATAAAAATAGCAAAAACCGCTAATTTTTCTTATCGCTAGAAAACTACTCGTAAAACAAATGCAAAATTGTGTCGAAAACGAAGTAAAATAGTCACAAAAAACTTGTTGATATATTTATGTCGAAAATGTGTGGTGAAAGCACACGTGAAATGATTTGTGGGATTAGTAGTCGAGACACAGAAAATTGAAATAATTTTTTAAGTTTCAATACTTTATTATTATTATATATATTTTTAAAGTCTCATAGGAATATGTGTAAAAACTTGAGACTCAAACAAACTTTTTATTTTGTCAAAGGTAATATGAAACAATTTTTTCAGAGACTTTTCTAAAACACAGAATATGTGATGAACTGCAGAAACACTGTATTTTGAAAATTATGAACAAATTCTCAGTTTTAGATGCGATTCGTAAGAATCGCATAAAATCTGAACGAAATGTGAAGTTTTAGTTTTAGTCGTGAAAAATGGGTTTTTGCTTGTGTTTTGAAAATTCATTTAAATTTTGAATGAATGCCTACACATATAGCAAATGATGGCATACATGGGCTGTGCACCAAACCTACCCATCATTTGAATAAAGAGTTTGTATTATATTTTGACGGCTTTATGGTGTAGACATCAAGTGTACGGCACTGGTAGTCGTGTGTATGAAATAAAAATAAAAAACAACGAGAATGTGTCGGAAACTGTTCAAAACAATTTTAAATGGTTTGCCCTTTTTTCGGTCTTTCTACAATTATTCCACATGCATGTAACCAGGGTCACTAAACATAACATTACAAAATATCGTATAAAAATAAATAAATTACATAAGTATAAGTGTGCTAAACTTATTATAATCTCTAAAAGTGGTGATAATTATGTATTTGATAGACAAAAACGTGTTCCACTTAATTGACAGCACCCTGGTGGCATCATAAAATGTAGAAATTAAAAATTAAAAACAATTTATAGTATACTAATAGCTTATTGGCACACGTTTTGGATGCGAGTCTCTCAGAGTTTACATACTTTTCACAGCAAATGAGAATTCTTTAAAAATATATATTCAGTGAGTGTTATGTGTATACAATATTTGAGTGAAAAATAGAATATTCTGTGTTTAATGTAGAATACAGTGATTTGTGGGATTTACATACTTTTCACAGCAAATGAGAATTCTTTAAAAATATATATTCAGTGAGTGTTATGTGTATACAATATTTGAGTGAAAAATAGAATATTCTGTGTTTAATGTAGAATACAGTGATTTGTGGGCCTTTTGAGTGGGGATTGAGTGAAAAGTGTTTTTATTTTTCATATGTATTTTTATTTTTACTTATTTTTTGTGCCTTTCAATTAGCATTGATATGCGTGGCAATGGTATTCATATATAAATAAATTTTTATATAATATATACATTAAGTAATCCAATGGTATCCTTCAACTCGACTTTCATATGGCTGTACATTATGTCAAATAATACTATTATAATAGTCTTATGGAAGCAAAGTTGAAAGGTACATTTTGTTTATTGAGCATAAATATACTGTATATATATTTCGACAACTCGTCAAAACGGTTTTCAATTATCGTTAAAGTCTCTCTAAACGCCTCTCAAGTCACGACTGATTTACAATTTAACTCAAAAATGCAACGAAAATATAATTCACATGTGTTTATTTTTGCCACAAAATTTTTGTATGACTTTAGCGTAAATATTCCGCACATTTTGTGTTTATAAATCCCGTTTGAATATACAGTATAATACATTTTATACTAGTAATCACGTTACGATCTCTAGCAAAATATAATTCATTAAGTCTTATAATAATGAATATGCTTTTAAGAAAAATATTTACCAAAACTTTTATGGTAGACATGACTGTAGACTGAATTCTGTAGAAATTAATTTTTGGTTTATTTAATAAATTATTTTCTTTAAACAATAAACAGGATATAGAAATTTATTTTTCTAATTGTAACATAGTTTATTTTGAACCAAATTAGGTATAGTGCAATCTATTATAATAATTATTACTTAATTAATTTTGTACAGAATATTGCTATTTAAAAATTTCATAAGTAAAATATTAATTAATTTTAATAAATAAAATAAACAAAATTTTAATATATACAAATAATATTATTGAAAGCAAGAATTGACAAAAAATAATAAATTTAAAAGCGTGTCTGTATAAATATAATATGAATATAATATTTATTTCATAATTTTTGGCAGATATTCAATAAACATGTCATTAAATTCTTATTGAATATTAGTTATTACTTTTTAGGATAGAGAGCAGACGTATCACATAATATAATTATATAACTATATTATTATATCCTAGGACCTAGTTTATTTTGTTTTATTTCATTACTTATAAGCAGTCACTAATTCTAATTAAAATTTAGTATTTGTTCATATAACTAATATTTATATACGACTGTAAATACAACTTATTTTTATTTAAAATATTTAAAAAGATAATTTATTATAGACATAAAATAATGTAAAATTAATAATTATTTATTCTATGTTATATTTTTCGATATTTATTGTATGCTTGCGTGTTAAATATATTTACTAGTCTATTACTAATCTTATTAGACTTAAGTGTTAAATCGTTGTATTTGTAATTAACAATTTTATATATGTCATGTGTTTAGAATTCTGAAAGATAAAAATGTTTTTCTTTTATAAATTTAAGAAACATGATTTAGGCTAATATTGGTTCTTAAACCATATTTTAATGATTATGTTTTGTATTATATAGTTCTTTGTATAGAATTTCGTTTTGTTAGATAATTTTCAGATTAAGTAATAATTATAATATTATTATTAAAATAATATTCTTATTAGCGTTACTATACTATATAAAAGTACTTACGAATTACTATTATACTGTACTTTCTAAGTCTAAAAATTAAGCAAATTATAACAAAAACAACAAATAGTTTAAAAATAAATTTTGCACAAAGTGAGGATATAATAGAGATTTAATTTAGAGATAATTATAACAACATTAAAGTGATTATAAAGAATTTGATGACAAAAAAGTAAGTTTCATATATAGTCAGCACAAATGCTAACTTTGCATTGAATGACACAAAATGTGTTGTCTCTTGTGTATACAAAATAGACACATTTCAAAGAAAATTATTTTTAGAAATTGTATTTAAGTTTTGAATACTCTTAACATAATTATTAAATTGTATTTAAGTATTAATTTGTATATAATATAAGTTTTACTTGAAAATTATGATATATAGTTAGTGAGTATATGAAATTTTATAAGTATGCTTAAATATTGAAAAACTGGTCAATTAATGGAAATTGTGGGAAAGGTTTAAATTATAAGGTAAGAGTTGAGTGGGGTGGGGGGTATAGGTGTAAAGGGAGGTGGATAGCTTAATAAACATTGGGATTTGTTACGGAAATGGACTACATATTACTACTAATCAAAACAAAATGTAAAACTATTATTAAATACTTGAAAACTACTAAATTTCTGACCAAAAGTGAACTAAAAGGAGAGAAAATTATCTAACATTTAGTGAACATTAGGAAATTAGGATAGGATTGTAGTAGTAGGACAGGGATGACCATAAAAATTAACAATTCATTAACATATAACTTAATAATAATAATTAATTTTATTATATTCAAGATTAATATAATCTATGAGATGGTGATAGGATAGGGACTTCCGGGCAAATGGATGTCTTGGAACATTAGGTGAAGCCTGTAGTCGCCGGACTGGTTGGGCGTGAACTGGACGGTGATTGTCTGGTCCTTGTTATTAATAAAGTTGACCTCCGGTTTGGAGGGGCCCTCCATCGCGAAGTTAATGCCGCCGGTAATGCCGGCCTCCTTGCAGTCTATGAGCACTTCGTTGACTTTGTTGGCGACCCCTGCGGTCAGGTTGGGTCCGCTCACCTTAACCTTATCCACGTATTTCTGGTGAGTCTTGTGGTCACCGGTGATCCGGCAGCTGAAGGGACTGCCGATTATGTCTTTGCTGTCGTACTTGACGTGAATCTTGTAATCGCCGCCCACTTTGGGATTGTAGGCCACGTCGACCGACCCGTCCTTATTGTTGTGGAAACTGATCTCCGGTTTTGACGGACCTGTCGGTCGGAAATTATTTTTTGTATCAGTTTTTTAGTTATTTGTTTTATAACAGTATAGTATTAGTTTGAG